TTTTTTGGTTTTTTTCCCTGGTACCGAGAATCCAACTCACGACCTTGCGCTTGCCAGGCAGGTGCTGTGCCACTGAGCTAAATCCCCAGCCCCTCTGACCTACATCTTAAAGGAGAAACTGTTGGAAGCACTGAACCCTGCTACCTCCTGGCCAGTGTGGAGGCAACAAAAACCTTGTTATGTGGAGTTCTCACGTGGGGTCAGGGGTGTGATCAACCCAGCCAGGCAGGGGAGCCAAGTAAGGCCCTTACCTTGTTGAGCCTCAGTTTCTTCCTCTAAGGTGTTGTGAGCAGTAGAGGTGATGCAGTAAAGTCTGATCTACTGCCACTTCTAGTAACAGGTCAGGTGTAGCAGAGATAAGGACAGTCACCAACTGACAGGCTGCTGCTGTGTGTAAGGCCTGTGCTGGCAGCTTTCATGTGCACTTTCTGGTTGAATCCTTTTGTTTTGTTTTGTTTTGTTTGGCTTTTTGAGACAGGGTCTCGATATGTAGCTCAGGCTGGCCTTGAGGTCACTTTGTAGCCCAGGCTGGTCTCGAACTCGCAACCATCCTCCTGGCTCAGCCTCCCGAGTGCTGGGATGACAGTAGTGTGCCACAACACCCGGCTGTTTTTTTTTTTGTTGTTGTTGTTGTTTTTGTTTGTTGGTTTTGCCTTTTTGAGACAGGGCTTCACTCTGCAGCTCAGGCTGGCCTTGAACTCACTTTGTAGCCCAGACAGGCCTTGAACTCACAGTGATCTTCCTGCCTCAGCCTCCTGAGTGCTGGGATTACAGGCGTGTGCCACCACTCCTGGCCTGGTTGCATCTTTTGAACAGTTATGAAAAGTCATAGAACTGGGCATGGTGGCACACACCTGTAATCCCAGCAGTCAGGAGGCTGAGGCAGGAGGATCGTTGCAAGTTTGAGACCATCCTGAGCTACAAAGTGAGCTCAAGGCCAGCCTGAACTGCATAGCGAGACCCTGTCTCAAAAAGACAAAAAAAAAAAAAAAAAAGTCATAGAGTTACTGTCCCATTTTATGGATGGAGGACCCTGCCCAAGGTCATACAGCAAGTAACTGAGAGAGCTGAGCTCTGAATCCAGGCAGTGGGCACTCCAGAGGCCGTAGCTCTGCTCCTGTTTTTTCAGGTAAACGTGTCACCTGTCCTCATATGTAGCTGGGGTTGTGTGTAACCAGCTGATTTCTTCCCTGGACCCTGTCCTCACTACCCCAGATCAAAGAGCCAGCCGAAAAGCAGAAGTTCTTCCAAGAGCTGAGCAAGAGCCTGGACTCGTTCCCTGAGGATTTCTGTCGGCACAAAGTGCTGCCCCAGCTGCTGACTGCCTTCGAGTTTGGAAATGCTGGGGCTGTGGTCCTCACACCCCTCTTCAAGGTCAGTGCAGCCAGGAGCCCCTGTGATGATGAAGCTGGAGGGCACGACACCTTAGGGGGTCCAAGCAGCTGATGGGGTACATCCAGACGGCCAAGGGGAAGTCTGCTAAAGAGAAGTCTGATGTGGGGACAGCCCTGCAGAGCATCCAGGGGTGGGCAGCAGGGCAGAGCAACCCCATGCCCTTCATGATGGTTTGGCAAGCTGGTACCACCTGACCAGCTGCAGGAAGGCTGTGAGGATGTCTTGTTCCTAGGGAGGAGAAACCTTGCGCTTCCAGATTCCTTGGTCTTTAGTCCCCTTGATTCAGAGCCGTTGACACTTCCTCATATCCCAAGACAGCTCCCTGGGTTCCCAGGGCCCAGGGGACAGTGTGTACTCACCACCACCCCACTTTCCTGTCCTCCCTCCTCACCTCTCAGCATTCAGCTTCCTGACTTCTGGGAACTGGACCCTACCCCCTTCCTTGGACCCCAGCCCACCCTGCTGTGGGCAGCTGCTTTTCCTCTCCCTCCCTACCCCAGAAGACCCTTTGTCCCAAGGCACTTGCTAGAGTGGGAGCAGACTGGCATTAAATCCTATGTAATTGGAACTCCCAGATATTGTAGGCAAAATTAAGTCTGCATGTTGTGTCCAGGTGCTTGTTTTGTGTGTGTATATGTTGTTTTATTTCGTAGGTGTTTTCCTTTTTCTTGTTTTTGGTACCAGGAATCGAACTCAGGAAAGTTGCCTGGCAGTTGCTGTGTTCCTAAGCTGTATATACGGCCCTCCCTTTTCTTTTCTTTTCTTTTCTTTTCTTTTCTTTTCTTTTCTTTTCTTTTCTTTTCTTTTCTTTTCTTTCTTTTCTTTTCTTTTCTTTTCTTTCTTTTTTTTTTTTTGCCTTTTTGAGACAGGATTTCACTATGCAGTTCAGGCTGGCCTTGAACTCACTTTGTAGCCCAGCCTGGGCTTGAATTTGAGGCAGTCCTCCTGCCTCAGCCTTTTGAGTGCTGGGATTACAGGCATGCACCACCACTGTTGGCTCGTCATAGTTTGTTTTATATATGTATATGTATGGGTTTTTTTAAATTAGTACATGTTTGGGGGCTGGGGATTTAGCTCAGCGGCAAAAGCGCTTGCCTGGCAAGCGCAAGGTCGTGAGTTTGGTCCCTGGTACCGGAGAATAAACCAAAAAAAAATAAAAAAAAAAATAAATAAATAAATTAGTACGTGTTTATAGTATATAACAATTACATTCATTGGGGGAGTTGGTACATGTACAAAATACAATCTTAATTTTTTCAGCCCTTTCTTCTCAAGGCACCTGTTTATCAGGAGGAGTATAGAGTTTTGATCAGCCTCCTCTAAGAGGCCTTGCCCCCAAAAGGCTAAGGGCAGGACTAACTGAGACAGAGTATGGCACTTCAGAGGGGCTGCTGAGACCTCCCCATATACTCCAGTGTCACCCCACCTCATTCCCACCTTGGGAAACCATCAGGGAGCCTAAGCAGGTGAATGAAGCAGGCCTCACTCGTACCATTCTTTTTTTTTTTTTTTTTTCCTGGTACTGGGAATCCAACTCACGACCTTGTGCTTGCCAGGCAGGCATGGTGCCACTGAGCTAAATCCCCAGCCCCGCTTGTACCATTCTTGTGGCTGTAGCTAAACTCCTTTTCTTGCACCATCAGGTGGGCAAGTTCCTCAGTGCCGAGGAGTGTCAGCAGAAGATTATCCCTGTGGTGGTCAAGATGTTCTCATCCACTGACCGCGCCATGCGCATCCGCCTCCTGCAGCAGGTGTGAGCCTTGGCCAGAACCTACCCTGGTCCTCTCTCCTAGACCCTACCCTGGCTGCTGGGGAGGTGCCTACCTTATCTCCAGCCTCAGGCAGGTAGCTGTCCATGGGCCCCAGAGCCCCTTTCTTGAACATAGACACTGGTGAGGGGCCAGAGAGGCTGGGCTTCTTGGCAGCCTTGGGGATACCTGGGCTGCAGGGCTCAGAGGCCCCCATCCCCTGGCTCAGTCACTCTAGCCCTCCACAGAGGGGACATAGTCCATTCTGCCAACCCTAGGGCAGCTTGTAAGGGTCACACAGGATTAATGAGATCTAGGGAGGGGCACTCTTGTGAACCAGAAAGAACCAGTGGCACCCAGGTACCGATCCCTCCCCAGCTGCCACTCACGCCAGGCTTCCTGAGGCCAAACACATGGGCAGCACTCAGGAGACAGACTTGAGAAAACCAAATCCAGAGTGGCCCAAGCTGCAGTGTAGGGAGAAGGAGCTGGCCGTGTTCTCATGTCTCACCCTGGGCTACAGATGGAGCAGTTCATCCAATACCTTGATGAACCAACAGTCAACTCCCAGATCTTTCCCCACATCGTGCATGGCTTCCTGGACACCAACCCTGCTATCCGGGAGCAGACAGTCAAGGTAGGTGTGGCCCTGCCAGAGCAGTTCGGTGAGCACACCTGGTTTTTCAGAGGTTCACTCAGTACACGGATGCCTTGGTTTTAGGCTGTGGATCTGAGCAGGTTGTGAGAGGGCAGGCACAGTCTGTGCTGTGTGCTTACATGATCCAGGCCGTGGGTGTGGCCCTTGCCAGGAGGGGTACAGGATGGTCATGGCCTATAGTCTTTTCCATGGACACTGCCGGAGCATTTGTGTGGCCCTAGCTTGTGCCCTAGCTAGGATGCAGTGTGTCCAACTCCCCTGCCCTTAAGTGGGGCAGACAGTAGGTCTAGAAGACAGTAAGTAAAATTAGGAAATATGTATATTATGTTAGGAAGTTTTTGAGGCCAGCCTGGGCTACATAGTAAGTTCAAGGCCAGCCTTTATTGCATAGCGAGACCCTGTCTCAAAAAGACAAAAAAAAAGGGACCACTTTGCTAAGGAGGAGTGCCTTTAAGGAAAGGGGAGCAAGGATTGATCTACAGAACATGAGGAAACATACTCTGCAGAAGGAAGAGCAGGTACAAAGGCCTTGTGGCTGAAAGGAGTATAAAAGTAGCAGGAAGGGATTTAGCCTGGCTAAAGGGAAATGGTTGTGGGAGGTGGAGTCCAGGGGTAACAGTGGGGTATGGCAGGAACCTGGGGCACTCTTTGGAAGTGAGTCCAGAGCGGTGACAGGGCCTCCTAAGGACCAGGTTAACAGGGGGCTAGGCCCCAACTGGGCTTGGTCTGCTTGACAGCCAAGTGGAAATGTCCAGCTGGCTACTGGTCATGCACATGTGGAGTTTAAGTGAGAAGTCTGGGCTAGGGGTGCCCACCAGTCTATCAGCTAATAAGGGAGCATGTTAAAGCCATAAAATGGGAGCGTCCAGGTCAAGAGCATTAATGTAAAGTAGTCCAAAGGATTCTCTCGGGATGTCTGAACATTAAGATTGCAGCAAAAGGAGCAGCCATTGGATTGAGGGAGGCCCAGAGCGGTTTGTGTCCTGGAAGACCAGAGACAAAAATTTTATGGTGGAGGGAGAACTTAGGGTCGTGAAAACTGCTGAGGGCTTAGGTTTGGTGAGGGCAGAATTGACCATTGACTTTAGCAATGTGGAGGTCAGCTGTGTCTTCAACCCAAGCCAGCCCAGAAGTGAGTGAAAGCCGGGTGTGGAGACGGCAGAGAGCAGAGGAGAGAAATGGGAGACAGGCGTGCAGACAGACCTCCAAGGCCTTGCTGCAAAGGGGGACAGAGAAATGGGGGACCTCCTTCCTCAACATGCTGGCGGCTTTCACAGCCTTGGCAGGTCTGCTCAGAGCCAAGGCCTGCCTTTGTGGCCAGTGTACTCTCCCAGAAGGCCATCCCTGGCCTGGCCTGGCCTGCAATCCTTACTGTCCCCTTCACCCCAAAGTCCATGCTGCTCCTGGCCCCAAAGCTGAATGAGACCAACCTCAATGTGGAGCTGATGAAGCACTTCGCACGGCTGCAGGCCAAGGATGAACAGGGCCCCATCCGCTGCAACACCACAGTCTGCCTGGGCAAAATCGGCTCCTACCTCAGCGCCAGCGTGAGTATCCCAGGGCCAGGATGGTTGCGTGCTGGGACCTCATCCCCTGAGATGTAGGCTCTGGGTACTATTAGCTCCAGTGTTGGACTCCAAGACCTAGAGTGGGTTGTGCCAGGTCCCATAGCCTGTGGAAGGCAGGTCTGGATCTGAACCTGGGCCTGCGTGTTCATCTTTTTGGCCAGGGTCTGTAACCTCAGCACTTACGGTGCCCAGACAGTTAACAGGAAGGAGTAGAGTAGATCAGCAGAGCAGGGAGGAAAGAGGCATGTGCCTATCCCTGGGCAGCTGCTGCTCTGGCCCATTTCCCTGAGGCGGGCTGGAGCCGAGGGGTCAGAAGGAGGAGGCCAGGTCGTGTTTTAGGTAAATTCTTCGCATGTAGGTTGTTAGTGATGGTAAGTTCCCTGTTCTGGGAAGTAAGACCTGATGGCTCTGGGCTCCCATATCTTGTTTTGCTTTGTTTTGTTTTTTGGTCTTCTTTGAGACAGGGTCCTGCTCTGCAGTTCAGGCTGGCCTTGAGCCCACTTTGTAGCCCAGGCTGGCCTTGAACTCGCAATGACCCTCCTGCCTCAGCCTCCCGAGTGTTGGGATTACAGGCGTGGGCCACCATACCCGGCTGGGCCCCCATATTAACTCAACACTTACAAGTCTTCTCCCCCGCCCCACCAGACCAGACACAGGGTCCTCACTTCCGCCTTCAGCCGAGCTACAAAAGACCCATTTGCCCCATCCCGGGTCGCGGGTGTCCTGGGCTTCGCTGCCACCCACAACCTGTACTCACTGAGTGACTGTGCCCACAAGATCCTGCCTGTGCTCTGCGGCCTCACTGTTGATCCTGAGAAATCTGTGAGGGAGCAGGTGAGGCACAGCTGGCGCTGGACCTAGGGGCTGGGACTGTGGTGGGTGTGTGGGCCCTGGCCAGCCTGGTGGGCTCTCAGAGATCTGGGATTCTCCGGCTCTGTCCCTTGCTACCCCACAGGCCTTCAAAGCTATTCGAAGCTTCTTGTCCAAACTGGAGTCTGTATCAGAGGATCCCACCCAGCTGGCAGAAGTGGGTGAGTGGCCCACAGTTGTCTTCCTTTTCCCCTGCCATGTCCTTGACCCTCAGCTGCCATGTCCTGTCCCGTTGGTATGTCTGAGAGCTGGGAACACCCTGGTGCGTAGGGCTGACACCCCCTTCTTCATAAATGGGAGGGACCAGGCCTGGAGAAACAGGCACAGCTGCAGGTCACTTGCCCTACTTTCCCTCCCTGCTGACCCTGAGGTGCCCATACTTGCCTCTCTCTCCTGCACTACCCAGAGAAAGATGTCCATGCAGCCTCCAGCCCTGGGATGGGAGGAGCTGCTGCCAGTTGGGCAGGCTGGGCTGTGACTGGAGTCTCCTCACTCACCTCCAAGCTGATCCGTGCACACCCTATGGCCACACCTGCTGAGACCAATGTGCCCCAGAGACCGATGCCTGAGGGTGAGTGCCACAGCCTGGTGGCCACAGTAGCTAAGAGGGCCAGGGGGTGTCGGCCCCCAGGGGCTGCTGTTGTCTGGCTTCCCCTGTAATGATGATGGGGACCTAGAGTGTGACTGGGGTCTAGTCTCCTTGTGGGTTTCTATGGTTCCCCTCCCTCATCCTGCACCCTTTTCAAAGACCTGCCTGAGAGCTCAGGAACTTCTCTTCCCAGGACATCCTACCCCGCCCCCCACCCCCATCCCTGCTACCCCAAATTCAAGCCATTGGGAGACACAAGAGGAAGACAAAAGTGAAGCAGAGGACAGCAGCACTGCTGACAAATGGGATGATGAGGACTGGGGCAGCTTGGAGGTGAGTGGCTGAGGCCTCCTCAGGGGGACCCAAAGGCATGCATGGGGCTCTCTAGAGTCAGGCCTGCCCTCATCTGCACAGTGTCCCTGCAAGTTGGCTCTTGGAGTTGGCCCTGTGGGCCAGAGCCAGCCGCTGAGCCCCGATTCAACTCCAGGGGCCCTGGAACAGAATGGGAAAGAGACAGGGCAAGCAGAGGTTGAACAGCCTCTGGACTTGTCACCTCTCTGAGCCCTCTCCCTCATCCACCTGTGTCAGTGCCTGCCTAGTTCAGGGTCAGCAAGGAGAGGCCACCCAGGGCCTAGAACCAGACCAGTTCTGGGCGGCTGCTGAGGATGACTGGAAGAAGTGAGCTGCCCTGAAGAGAATCACAGGGCTCTGGGCCAGTTTTCCCGTCTGGCTGACAGCAGTATCTGGATGCAGAATTGAGAGGAAGGCCATGGAACATGTAGACCTGATCCCTGGCCTTGGGGATGGGTGATGACAGGGAAGGGTGTGTATCCTCTTGATAGGGAAGCAAGTGAGAAGGAAGATAGACTACAGGGTGGCTGAGCATGGTGGTGCACTCCTGTAGTCCCCACACTCTGGGAGGCTGAGACAGGAGGATCACAAATTCAAGCCCAGCCCGGGATATTGCTCAGTGGCATACGCACCTGCCTGGCAAGTGCAAGGTCCTGAGTTCGATTCCCAGTACAAAAAAAAAAAAAAAAAAAAGACAAATTCAAGCCCAGCCCAGGCTACTTAGTAACTTGGTGAGACTTTGTCTAAAAACAATTCATTGGGGCTGGGGAAATAGCTCAGTGGCATAAGCGCCTGCCTGGCAAGCGCAAGGTCATGAGTTCAATCCCTGATACCACACACACACACAAAAAAATCATTTAAAAAAAAAAAAGATTGGGGATGTAGCTCAATGCAAAGGCCCTGGGTTCAAATCCCAGTATGTCGCACACAGAGACCACAGGGTGGAGCCCATAGCCAGGAAGGGGCTGGAGCCAGTTTACTTGCCCTATGGGGAGTTGGGAGTGTTACTGGTCAGGTATCTTCCTTCTCACACTGCAGCAAGAGGCTGAGTCTGTGTTGGCCCAGCAGCATGACTGGAATTCGAGGGACCAGGCTAACCGAGCCGGCCAGGTGAGCTGGATCCAGCAGGGTGCTCTGTGTGTGTCAGGGTAGGACACCCTGCCCGCCTCTCCTCAGCACACACTGTTCCACAGGTCAGTCACCCGGACCGCAAATCCCCAGAGTCAGACTGGAGCAGCTGGGAAGCTGAGGGTTCCTGGGAGCAGGGCTGGCAAGAATCCAGCTCCCCAGAGCCACCCCCTGAAGGCACAAGGCTGGCCAGCGAGTATAACTGGGGTGGCCCAGAGCCCAGCGACAAGGGTGACCCCTTTGCTGCCCTGTCTGTGCGTTCCACTGCCCAGGTATGAGTGAAGTGAGGATGCAGACTGGGTAAACACCACCTGGGTGTCAGCCCCCACTGCAGCCAGTGCTTCCTTTTTCAGCCCAGGCCAGACGTGGACTCCTGGGGTGAGGACAACTGGGAGGGCCTGGAGACTGACAGCCGTAAGTGCTTCCCGTGGAGGTCTGGTGGCCAAGGGAGAGGACTGGAGAGCTGATAACCTGGACAGGTCAGCCCTCAGCCTGTTTTCTCTTCCCTAGGGCAGGCCAAGGCCGAGCTGGCCAGGAAAAAGCGTGAGGAACGGAGGCGGGAGATGGAGGCCAAGCGGGCGGAGAAGAAGGCAGCAAAGGGCCCCATGAAGCTGGGAGCCCGGAAGCTAGACTGAACCCTTGGGGTGGGCCGTTCCAGTGAGGAAAGCAGGCCCAGCCGATGTATTTATTGTACAAAACCATGTGAGCCCGGCCGACCTGCCAGGCGCATCTCACGTGTACATAATCAGAGCCCCAATAAATTCTATTTCACACCCCCAGTCCTGGGCTCAGTCTAGCCCCTCCATGATGGCTGGGGTCCGGCACTGGCCTGCACAGTCCTGGCCAACCACAGATGTGAACGTCAATTTGTTTTGAAAGCCAAGAGTAAACTGAAGAGGCGCAATCTGGATCTGATTTATCAGTTTCTAGGATTCTTCCTCAGGAAGGCTGACAGTGCCCGACAGACCCAACACCCAACCATGAATCGAGGCCTCCAGGGGCACCCCCGGGCCTGGGGTGCAGAAAAGGGTCTGCAGCCCTGGAGGGTCCCTGGGTCCGAATCCTGAGTTGGGGCAGGCAGGAGCTACCGAGCTAGCCCCCAGTGTCAGCCGAAACCGCTTGGTGATCGCGTGATGGCCGAGGCTGCTCAGCGGCGGCGCTGAGGCACACACGCCCCGTGTGGGCGGCTGCGAGCGAAGCCGGCCTTGCAGACGCAGCGGAAGGAGCCGCTGGTGTTCACGCAGCGCTCGCTCTTGCACAGCAGCCCGCGCTGGTTCAGTTCTCTGCACTCATCGATGTCTGCGGGAGGGGGCGACAGCGAGGCCTTGGCTTAGCGTCCAGTCCTGACCAGGGGCCGCAGCTTCACCCCCACATCCCGCTGGCCCCAGCGCTCTGCCCAACAAGTCCTGCTCACCCACGCAGCGGGAGCGGGAGGCGTCCAGCTGGAAGCCTCCGGGACATTCGCACACGGCGCCGCCAGGCCGCGGGACGCACCGGCCGCTCACACAGCGGCACTCGTCTGAGTCTTCCTCGGAGCTGTCCTCGTCTGCGGTAGCCAGAGGGATACGGGCGTCAACATCATCCCACTGATGGATGGCCAGCGCCCCTCCGACCCCCCTCACCTCTCGGAGGTTTTCCCAGCAGCAGGGGGCTCGCGTCCCAAAATGAATTGCTCTCACTCTGCGAGGTCGGACACTGGGACCCTGGGAGGGGACAGGAAGGTCAGTGACCGGGGTTCCCCGGGGTCCCACCCGTCACCCCACCCTAGGCCTTGCTGCGCTCACCGGAGCCGCGCGGCGGGCACGGGCGGCACTGTGCGCCCCAACCGCGGCCCTGGCGGCAGCAGCAGTCGTCGAAGGTGAGCGCAGGCCCGGCCAGGGGCCCCGCGCACATGCCGTCCTCCCCGCGCCGGCTCCAGCACACGTCGCGCCTCTCCGGGGCCCGCTCTGCGGAGGAGACCCGGCCTCAGAGAGGAGCTCGCCGCGGGGACCAACCACCGCGCGCCTCCTCACCCGCGTGGGGGCCGCAGACCCGGGGCTCCGCCCGACCGACAGGGCCCCGGAGTCGCCCTCACCGGCCGGGCTCTCGGGGAGCTGGCAGTCGCGGCCGGAGGGCCCGGGCACCCAGGGCGGGCGACACTCGCAGCGGTAGGAGCCCGGCAGGTTGACGCAGCGGCCAGGGCGGCAGGCTGCCGGGTCCTGGCACTCGTCCACGTCTACGGGCAGCGAGGGGCGGGCGGGGGTGGCAGTCACAGCTCAGCCCTGCCCGCCGCCGCCTCCCCTGTCCCTGGCTGCGCGGCCCGGGCCTCACCCATCTCCTCGGGGCTCAGACACTGGCGCTGCGCGGGGCTGTACTCGGCGGGCGGGGTGCAGGCGCAGCGGTAGCCGCCGCGCGTGTTCTCGCACACGCCGTTCCTGCAGTTGGACTCGTCCAGACACTCGTCCACGTCTGCGGAGAGGAGAAGCGCGCGTGGCAGTGGCCAACGGCGGGGGTCGGGCCTGGGGCTCTGCCCGCCTCCCCGCCACCTCCGCGAGGCCACTCACCCACACACTCCAGCAGGTTCCCGTCGTAGTAGAACCCCTGCTTGCAGTAGCACTCATAGCCGGGTTGCGTGTTCACACACTTGCCCTCCTTGCAGATTTCCGCCCCGAACAACATGCACTCGTCGATGTCTGGGGGGGTGACAGCCGTGGGTGCCCAGCCTCTTCTACCTCCCGGCCGCTAGGCCCGCAGCCGGGAGGCGTGGGCAGGGCTCCCCCGGAGGGGGAAATAAACCCAGGCTGCAAAAGATGCCCCGCCAGGCCAGGACCCCAGCGACCGAGCGGGGCTGCTGCGGGCGGGACCAGCAAGAGGGAGGGGGCGGGGCCGGGGCCTGGCCGGACTTACCGCGGTGGGCGGGGATGCCGTAGTTGACAATGTTGTTGTCCTGCGTGTAGCCCTTTCCGTCCGGGCAGAGGCTGTGGAACTCAGCTGCGGGGAGAGAGCAGCCGCGGGGAGGGGAGGAGGCGGGACTGAGCGTGGCCTGAAGGCCATGGCAGGCAGAGTGGGCCTCTCCACCTCATTTCCCAGCTACCCGTGGAGGGAGCATTTCTCCCAGGTCGGTTTCCAGATAAACCAACCGAGGCTCTAGGAAGGGGCCCGCCAGGGCGCCTGACCTGAGCTGTAGACTGGGCATGGGTAGATTTCGCAGTGGTCTCCCCAGCCGGCCCCCAGCGAGCAGCAGCATTCCTGCTGGGTGATGTTAGTGGCCAGTACACTGTCACAGAACACCGTGTCGTCGAAGTTAAGGTAGCACTCCTTCTTGTGGTGGGGCTGCTCCACCTCTGAAGAGGGAGGCACCTCAGGGTCGAACAGACTGTCCTCTCACCCCGTCTCCCCTGTCCACCCACCAAGTCACGCTGGCCCCCACTTTCCGTCTCCCCTTAGTGCCCCCTGAGAGACAGGCTCCCTCCAGGTGGTGGTCAATGCCCTTAGAGGTCTCTCCCCAGCAGACTCCCCCAGGTGAAAGGTATATTTCTTGTTCTGCAAATTCAGGAGCGTGCAACAGAAACACGTTTCTTTTTCTTCTTCTTTTTTTTTGTCTTTTTGAGAGAGGGTCTCGCCATGCAGTTCAGGCCGGCCTTGAGCTCACTTTATAGCCCAGGCTAGTCTCGAACTCGCAACGATCCTTCTGCCTTAGCCTCCTGAGTGCTGGGATTACAGGTGTGCCACCACGCCCGGCCAAGACACATTTCTGGAGGACAGCTTCCGCTCAGGGACTGTCTAATCTGAGGAGGCAGATGGGGAGACACTCACCCTCACAGCCATGCTGGTCCTGGGTGGGTGTGAAGCCCTCATCGCAGACACAAACGTAGGAGCCCTGCAGGTTCTCGCAGGCCCCGTGGGGCAGGCACAGACTGGGGTCCTGGCTGCACTCATCTATGTCTGCAGAAAGTGGCTCTGATGAGTCTCAGCCTCGCTTTCCCTGGGATATGCCTGCACTATTTTAGAACCTGGATTTCCAGTATGATTTTAAAGTACACACAACCTGCTGGGGATATAGCTCAATGGCACAGTGCCTGCCTGGCATTCACAAGGTCCTGAGTTTGGTTCCTGGTACAGAAAGAAAAAGAAAGCAAGAGAGAGAGAGAGAGAGAGAAAGAAAGAAAGAAAGAAAGACAAAGAAAGGGAGGGAAGAAAGGAAGGAGGGAGGGAGAAAGGAAGGAAAGAAGAAAGAAAGGTAGCTGGGCATGGTGGCGCACACCTATAATCCCAGCACTCAGGAGGCTGAGGCAGGAGGATTGCCATGAATTGGAGACCAGCCTGGGCTCCAAAGTGAGTTCAAGGTCAGCCTGAACTGCATGTGAGACCTTGTCTCAGAAAACCAAAAAAAAAAAAAAAGAAAGAAAGAAAGAAAAGAAAGGAAGGAAGGAAGGAAGGAAGGAAACACAACCTAAGTCCCCTGGAGCCTGTCTCTGTGGATGGCTAGGTGGGCACACATTTACTTCATTGCCCTTGGTGACAACCAAATGAAGTCCTCTCAGCTGGCCCTTGAGGACCTTCTGTTTGCTCTTCCAATGCCTTTCAGTTCACACTGTACTCTACCCCTCTCCACAAAAGTGTCTAGTCTCTAAAAGGTAGCTGCTCCCAGATCTTCCCTGGAGAGTAAATACCACCCTGTGCCTTTTTTTTTTTTTTTTTTTTGTCTTTTTGAGACAGGGTCTTGCTATGCAGTTCAGGCTGGCCTTGAGTTCATTTTGTAGCCCAGGCTTGTCTCAAACTCACAGGGATCCTCCTGCCTCAGCCTCCTGAGTGCTGGGATTACAGGCATGTGCCACCACACCCAGTGGTTCTGTGCCTTTCTTTGCCTAGGGAATCTCTATTGTGATTCAAATCCCAACTCAGTGGTCACCTCTGTGTTAACCACTAGCCCTGACTCTCTTGGCACTCCATACCCCTAACCCTGAGACTCAGTTTATCACCCACTGTTCCTGCTGGGAACTCCAAGTGACTGCTGAATACTTAGTGTACAACACAGAACCTGGCAAGTACAGTACTGGGTGCTCAGTTATCTCTTGTTGATAAATGTGTAAATGGCTGAGTCTATGGGTTAGACTGATCTGTAAAGAGCTGAGTAGAGTACCTGTGAGTAGTAAGTCATTATTACTGCCATCCTTTTTAGTCCGGTGGAAGAATAGAAGGACCCGTGTAGGATAGATGTAAGAAGGCAAAAAATAGTCTATAGTGTATCTAGGGGGTTGCTGCTCCCTGCCTCCCCACTCAGGAGCCCTCAGGCCATCCCTCGTACCTTGGCACTTCCTGCCACCCACCAGCCGATGCCCCTGAGGGCAGAGACATCGGTAGGAGCCATTGGTGTTGATACAGTCACCCCCAATGCAGGCCGCAGGAAAGTCACATTCATCAATATCTGTAGGAGAAGGAGCAGGTGGAGGATAGCAGGGGCTGAGCCTAAACACACATAGCCTGGGCCCAACCCTTCACCCCCAGCATAGAGCCCTGGGTTAATCCGGCACCCCACACCCCATCTGGGAGCTGGATGGGGACTGAATATGGCCAGGGGTTCTGGAGGAGGAAGGGGACAGGCCAGCGCCTGGGCTCTAAAACCCCTCACCCTCGCAGTGGCTCCGGTCCCTTGACAGATGGTAGCCAGAGAGGCACTGACACTGGAAGGAGCCTGGTGTGTTGGTGCAGATGCCATTGTTACAGACGTCCCCAGCCTCACACTCGTCCACATCTGCAGGGCACAGGAGGTGTCAGAGGGCCGGGCTGGGGGTAGCCTCGGGCTTCTGCTACCCTTTTGAGTTTCTGTCCAGGGCCTAGAGCACCTGAATGGAGGTCAGCAGATCTCTAGAGACCCTCACCCCAGTCCTGTGTGGCACCCCAGGCCCCAGCAGGTGTTTTCAGCATCCCTGGGCCAGGTGCGATGCTAAACACCCCGACACACAAGAGGCGCTCTCCCTGTGTTTTCTCCCCTCCCCTCCCTGGGCTTCCCCAGCGTTTCAGATGATACTGCAGGCCCCCGTGTCCCTCCTTCCACTACCCCTGCTCTCACCATTTATCCTCCCTATCTCCACCCCACCCCTGCCCCTGGGCGAGCAGCTCCATCTCAAGCCTGCACAGCTTCACAGCCCTCAGTCCATGGTCCCAGGTGGGGAGCTCTGGCCTAGGACTCCCGGCCTCTACCATGTCTCCAGCTGGGCAACCCACAGGAACCACCCCTTCACCCTATCCAGGGTGGAGCTCAGCATCTCCCCTCCCCAGTGTGCAGTGTCACTCGCCATGTCCCCACACCAGACCCCTAGAGGTTCACTCCCTCCTCTCTTCATCTTGGTATCCAGTCAACAATTAATTGGTTCTCATATTTCTCTAGCATCAGAAGTGTCATGGCTATCCTGAGGCCACTGCTCTCATCCCATCCGATGCTTCCTGTTGCCTTCTCATCCTGCTTTATTAATTCCTACTGGTTTTTTTTGGTTTTTTTTTTTTTTTTTCTTTTCCCGGTACTGGGAATCGAACTCACGACCTCGCGCTTGCCAGGCAGGAACTGTGCCGCTGAACTAAATCCCCAGCCCTCCCCTACTGGTCGTTTTAGACAACTCAGACCTCCTTCCTCCCAGCCCGCTGGTGTTCCCCTCCCCCTGCACTCCAGCCCTGTGTCTAAGGTCTATCTTACGTTCCCCAGTTTCTCTGAATCCCAACCCTCAGCCTGTCGCTTGATGCACAATAAATATCAGTGTAGGAACCACTACTAATGCCCCCCAGATCAATGATCTTTTTTTTTCTTCAAATTTAAGTAACATGTCTACAAGAAAAAAAAAGTAAATGAAAATAAGAGAACAAATTTAAGTAACATGCTTTGCAATCACAACTTCAGCCTTGCCTGCAAGACCCTCCCCGCAAGCTCTGCTTCCCCTTCTCTGAGCAATGAGTCACCCGATCAGTGAGCTGGGCCTCCCTCCCAGCCATTCCAGACAAGAGTGGTGCACTCCCCGCAGGAGCAGCTAGGGGGTGGCCTGCTGGGCCGGCGAGAGCTCACCCACACAGCTGCGGCCGTCGGACGTGGGCGCATAGCCCTGGGCGCAAGTGCAGCGGAAGGAACCGGGGAGGTTCTCACACCAGCCGGGAGAGCAGGGACTGCCCTCCGCGCACTCGTTGATGTCTGCGGCAGAAATGGCCCGCCTCAGACACTACCCACCTGGTCCCGGCTATGGATCTCCTTCACTTGCGGTTAGGGGGTGCCCTTCTACTCCCGGGAGACCCCACCCTTCAGGTTCCTCTAGCTGTCCGCAGCCAGACCCCGCCCCACAAAGCCGGTATCACGGGGCAGGCCCCGCCCATCGTCCTCAGGGCCCCGCCCTCACCGCGGCAGGCCCCGCCCCCTTGGCTGCGGTAGCCAGGCTGACAAGGGATGCACTTGAAGCTCCCGGGTTTGTTCTCGCATTTGCCATCAGGGCAGGAGCTGGGGTCCCGGCATTCATCAATGTCTGCACGGGAGAAAGAGAAACAGGACGACCGGTGTGAGGTCAGCGTGGCTGGCCAGGCGCTCATGGTCTTCAGTAGAGGCCTCCTTCGTCACAAATTGACAAGGCAAAGGGCCCTTTAGGTTCTGAGGCTTCAACCTGAGAGGTTTGGAGCTGGGCAGAGATGATCGCACACCTCCCGCCCCATACCAGGTTGAGAGACAGCCGAGAACCCCGCTGTGGTGCGGGAGGGCCCTCACCTTCGCACACTGGCGGTCGAGAGGCTTTAAGCCGGTAGCCGGGATAGCAGTTGCACTTGTAGTGGCCAGGAAAGTTGATGCAGAAGCCGCCGTCGCCGCACACGTGGGGCTTGGCACACTCGTTCAGGTCTGAGTGGGAGAAATGGGCCGGGGGGTGGCGGGGGTTACCCCTTGCTGGGAGGCAAGCCCGCCCCACCCGAGAAGCCCAGCACCGCTCCTGCCCCCCATGGCGCTCACCCACGCAGGAGCGCCCCCCGGCGCCCACGTGTAGGCGATAGCCGCGGTTGCAGTGACAGTTGTAGGAGCCGCCGGTGTTCAGGCAAGTGCCCTTCCCGGGGCCGCATGGCTCCGCGTCACACTCGTTGACGTCTGCCAAGGACCGGCAAAGGGAAGTCGTGAGCCTGGCTTGCCTCGAGGCCAGCCACCCGCGCGCCGGCCCTGCCCGCGCTCACCCACGCAGTAGCGGTGCTGTGGATGTGACCTGTAGCCAGGGTTGCAGTGGCAGGAGTAGTCGGAGGGGCCCGGGACGCACTCCCCGTGGCCACAGATGTTCTGGTTCAGTCGGCACTCGTCGGTCTCTGGGGGGATCAGCAGTCCATGGGGTTGAGCAGGGAGCACCTGTCTTCTGCCATATCCCCAGGGCGAACCCTGACACCCCAGGTCTACTGATGGGAATGCCTGAGCCGAGTCACAGGCTGACCTTAGGTTCCTGCACACCTGGATGCCAATCCTAGCATTTTCTACACCTTATCTTAATCCCAATGTCATGATCCCAGATGGCCCCCACGATACTCTAGGTCCCTGACTTGCTAAACACTCCAACCCCAGGACCCTTGATATTTCCGTACCCACTCCAAGAGGCTGACCTCAGCCACTCCAAACAAAGCCCTATCCCCCTGAAGTCCTGGTCATCCAGTATCCTTACCCATGGGGCTCTGAGACCCGATTCTCCCGAGTGATCTCAATACCTTAGACTCTGTAGCCTCAGTCACACCAACATCCTCTAGTCAGTGACTCCAACACCCTTTGCCCTGGGGACCTGGGACACTAGTTCCAGGATGGTGGATTACCCCGTCCCTGAGGCAGGGGAAAGCCAGGCAGGAACTACTTCCTTGGACTCCTAACTTGTTGTTGTTGTTGTTGTTTGTTTGTTCATTTTTTTGAGACAGGGTCTCGCTGTGTAGTTCAGGTTGGCCTTGAACTCAAGTCAATCCTCCTGCCTCAGCCTCCTGAGTGCTGGGATCATAAGTGTGTGCCACCATGCCCAGCTGGACTCTTTTCTTGTTTTGAAACAGGCTCTTGCTTTGTAGTGTAGGCTGGCCTTGAACTATTGGCTGGACTCCTAACTTGTGTCACAGCTATGCACAAGTGGTATGAGGCAGGAACTCCCCTCAGCCTCTCTGACTTCAAGCCCAAGACTCCCTGCTTCCTCTTTTTCCCTCCTTTTGATCCCTTCTACCCACAGATCTTACCTGCAGCACCCCACCCCTACCTCCATGCAATCCAGGCGGTGCTGAACCTGGCTTGGGCCTGTAGCCACCCAGCCAGTGGGCCTGTGCAGGCTGCTCTTTGCCTAGAGCAGCTCTCCATAGTGCTTCTTAACACCCCACCCCCAGGTACCTCATCAGGCACATTGCCAGCGTGCCCAGGGCAGCCACCTTCCACCTGCGCCCTCCCGCTAGGAGCTCATCTAGGCTCAGGGTTTCACTCAGCCTGGCAGTCCCCTTGTGCTTTGAGGGCACACTATTATGGGCTTGATGCTGGCTCAACTGTGTGACCCAGGGCAGGTCACTGAGCCTTTCTCTGCCTCAGACTTTTCAAACAATACTCCCTTCACTCTAAGAGAAAGTTAAATGATATTTAGTATGCAAAACTCTTCTGGCAGTGCCTGGCACAGAGGGATTGCTGTCTACAGGAACAATTATTATGATGCTCAAATCCTTGTGGACACTTCCTATAGCCTCTGGCATCAAAAACCCAGGCCCCTTTATAAGGCTGCATGTACTGCTGCCCAGGTTCAGACACACCCGCCTGCGTGTGGTTTCTCCCTCTTCTGCCCAGCCTTTCATTCTTCCATGCCTTTGCCCAAATTTAACTTCCCTTGGAATGTTCTCTTCAACCTGCATTCCCCTCCCATCTCCACTTCTCTTGAATTTCTAACAATCTTTAAACCCTGCCCAGAAAGTTTAAGTCATTACTCACCCACCTTACATCGTATCACAACCCCTAGACTTCCTTCCTTCTCTGATTTATTTTTTCATAGTATTTATGGGACTTAATAAATTTTTACTTACTGATTTTTTTTGTGTCTGTCTGCCCTGCAGGGGCAGGAAATTTTTATCTCTCTTGTTCTCTGTAGTATCCTTAGCACTTCAACAAGTGCACAACACATAGTAGGTGCTCAATAAATACAAGTTGAAAGAATGAATGTCCCCAGACTGGGATGACCACCATACTACCTCGACCACTTGTGAACAAAGTGGGATTCCCACTGCTCACTGGGAATTCCCCAGTGCTCAGCCCCACCCAGACAAGTGCTAGCCTGTTAGCGCTAGAGAATGGCGGGAGGACGCAGGAGGAAGAGAAAGACCAAGTTCAGGGGAGCGGCCTTGCTAAGTGGGTCTTACCTGTGACCTGAGTGGGGGCGATCTCCACTGCACTGCGGGAGGGTGGCAAGTCTGGGGGCAGGAACCATCGGATGGTAGGTGGCGAGGGGCGGGATATCAGCTCTGCAGGCAGCATTATAGGGCTGGTCAGAAACTGTCTCTCTCCCACCAGGTCACAGCCCAGCCTCTGTCCAGTTAGTACCCGAGCTGTGACTCCCCCACAGACTCCACCTTAGCCCCTTTGTCCCTGCAATTGCCCAGCTTACCCGGGTAGGGCCTGGCAGGAGAGGTGGTGGCCGTGGAGTGGCTCTGCTGTACTGACCGCTCCTCGATCACTGGCTGTAGGCGACAGCAACATGAGCCCTCCCTGTCTCTCACCTTTGCCCCTCTCACCTAGGGTCATACTCACTGGGTCTGTGGTCAAACCTAGGAGGGAAAAAGACGAGGATATTAAGGGTTGGGGTGGGAGAGGGAGTCAGGTGTGGAATCAGCAGCTGGGGCTGTATGGCTAGGACCTCTAAGACTTCAGCAGTCATGTCTCTGGTTCAAGGGTCAAGGTTAGATCATGGGTCAGAATGTGTTTGCTTAGTGGTCTGGGGCCAGGTCTGGAGAGCAATGGTTGATCAGGGGTCTGGGGTTATAGATCAAGGCACAGGAAGTTAGAGCCCAGGGTCAGGTCAGGGGTCAGGGGGTCAGACTATGAGGTCATAGCTGTGGATGGGGGTCAAAGCATCAGGCTGGACCTCTCTCTTCTTCTGTGTCCTCAGGTGGTGGTGCCCGGCTGGGGCTCTCGGGGAGCTGCTGGGGTTTGGGCGGCCCATCAGGATGCAAAAAAAGGGAAAAGTCGCTTTCGCCCTGGATGGTGAGTGTCTGGTGGGAGGTGAGGATGTGGTACCCCTTCCCAGCTGGACAGATCTCTTTGAAGGCAGCTGTGGTCAAGAGAGGAGACAAAGAAATGAGTGTTTCCTATCCAGGTGTGTGGACAGGCAGCACCCCATCTCCGGCCTTCCCCTACCCCCCAAACCTGCCCCCCATACCCTCCACTCACCAGTGCCATCTGCTGGGCAGCGCTGACACCTTGCTCCCCAGGCCTTGCCCACACTGCAACAGCAGAGCTGTCGGGTTAGGCGCGTGGTCAGAGGGTGCTGGCACTGGTGCTCTGGGCTCACCAGGCGGAAACACAGGCTCTTCTCCTCAGGCTTGTCTGCTGCAGGGGCCATGGGGGGCATGAGCATCTGGGCCTGAATACTCCCCATGTCCCTCTGCCCAGCTGCTCCAGACCTTGCCTCTGTGCCCCGCATAACCCTTGACCTGAGAGTGGCTGCTGACCTCCTATGACCTCTAAAACCTGTGTGACCACTAACCTCACTGATCCTGATTCGGGCTGCTCCTCCTTCCCATCAAACCCACTATCTATAGGGCCCTGATTTGGTATAAGCCTTGAGCCCCTGTGACCTCTAACCTCAGATCTCAGATGACCCTTGGCCCCACTGATTCCCTTCCGATCTCTTCTGGGCCTTGGCCTTGTTCCTCATGCACCCAACCCTCAACCCTCCTCTGACCTCTTATGACCTTGGACTCTTGTTGCTGAGAGCTTTACCCCTCCCACCCATGACTGTCCAGTATCCTGACGCCGCCCCCCGCCAGTCTCACCAATGCACTGAGTGCGGGAGGGGCCCAAACTATGGCCAGGTGGGCAGATGCAGCGATAGGAGCCCAGGCTGTTGAGGCAGTCACCATGCCGACACATCCCTGGCATCGCACACTCGTTGATGTCTGTGGTAAGCAGGAGTTTGGTCCCTCTAGTCTGGTGCCATAGGGTGACCGCAAGCTGTTCCAAGAACCTCAGAGTTCTGCCCCAGCCCAACTCCTCCCTCCACCACACTGGGACACCCTCCCCACAGTGACCTCCGGCTGCCTCCCCAGCCCACAGATCCCCTGCTGGCAGTACCCTGGCAGTGGCTGCTGTTGAACTTCTTGTAGCCCTGGGGGCACTCAGAGCCCATCTCACGTACAGGACCTGGCTTCTGCACCCCTGTGTCTGCAGAGAGGACAGCGTGGTGGTGGGGCACGGGGGGCTTGTGGGGAGTTGCGGGGAGAGGATGGGGAGGCTAAGGGGATAGGGAGAGGAATTTGCGGGGCCCTGGGTGGGAGGCTCCTGTAGAGAGGAGGGTGGGTTGGGTGGCCCCACTGAGCCCAAGCACTCACACTGCAGCTGAGGGCACTTGTGGCACTTGCTCTGGCCCCAGGCAGTGCCGATGCTCCCACAGCAGTCCTCCTGCTTGGTGAGGCCGGGCAGGGGGTTGCTGCCACACTGCGGGGAGAGGTGGCAGAGGGGTCACAGAGTACCAGAGCCACTCCCCTCCTTCCTGAGGCGCTCCTCCCCAGCATGCGGATCGTCAGTTTTATGCAATCCTGATGAAACCCTTAGAGAAGGAGGCGCGGTCCCCTTAGGGACAGTGGATTCACTCACTGGCTGCTTGGGCAGCGTGTCCTGGAAGCAGCGGCCGAGGGGCTTCTGGGTGGGAGGTCGTGGGTGCTGAGGCTTGGGGTGCGGCAGCAGGTGCTGGGAGGGGGCAGGGCCCTCAGCGTTGGGCCCCTCGATTCGGTGCACCTGGACCGAAGCCTCAGGCGGGTGGTGGACTCGGACGTTCACCACGGGGGGCGGGGCCTGCACTGGGGGCGGGGCGTGGTGGCCTCAGGGCTGCTCCGTGCCTCAGCGCCGCGCTGAGCTCCTCCAGGGCTGGCCTCTGCCCGGATCCAGCCACCCTCACGCCAGACCCTCTCCCCCTCCCGGAATTTGCCCTTTGCCTGGTACCTTCTGCTGATATCTGTCCCGGCCCCAGGGGCACCAGGAAAGCTGCATGCTGGGCAGGAGGCCCCTCCCCCGGCCCGGGAGGATCGGCGATCACCTGCACGGCGTAGATGGCATGCTTGCTGGCCACAGACTCGCCCTCTGGAACCAGGGGCTGCAGGGTGCCTGTGGACCCCGCCCGGGCCAGCCCCGGGCCTGAGCCTCCTCCGGCACCGCCAGCTCCTCCGGCGGGCACCTGGCAGAAGCGGCCAGTGAAGTCGGGGGGACACAGGCACTGGTTTCGGGAGGAGCACTGGCCACCATTCATGCAGGGCAGAGGGCACACCACTGAGAAAGGGACATGAATCAGGTCACAGGCTGACCTCCAGCCCCCAGGCCCACTCTCACCCACATCCTGTCCCCCTTTCCTTGCCACCCACTGGCTCTATTGTCCTTGGGAAACTGGTTTTAGTGACATCACACACACAGAAACTGCCCACTCTAGGTCCCCACCCCTGGTATACCCACAGTGGGTCCTGGCGTCAATTTTTCCAATTTAAATCCTAGCGAGGCCATGTGCCAGCTGTATGACCCTCGGCAACTCACTTCCCCTGCCCCGTGCCCCACCCACGGGCGTGCTGTGTGGGTTAAATGAGGCAAAGCCCATACAAACGCTCAGCACAGAGAGGGATGGAACAGGCGACTGTGAATGCTGCTGCTGCTTCTGTTGCCGGTGAGCCGCTTTCCCATGGCCTTTTCTGGGAATGCGATCTCTCCCTCTCATCTCCTTAATTCAGGCCTCAGCCCCTCTGCCCTTGCCTCTGCCTTGCCATCTGAGCCCACACCTGACACTGCCACTGATGCCCCATCTCTGGATACAGTCACAGTCCCCGACCTCTCCACTACCACTTGGCCACCTCCACTGGACACTGAATCACCTCTCCCTACCTGTGCTCACAGCTGGGAAGCCCTGCCTGCCCAGCTACACAGACTGGGCTGGGAGGGTCCACCCTGGCTTTTCCTGCCGTCTCCCACTTCCAATGAACCCATCTCCTCTCATGGCTTCTGCCCTTCCACTGGCTCTGGCCATGCCACCCAGACCTATGTCTCCCTGCCTCTCTCTTGCCTGTCCATAATCCCAGTCCCCAGAGAAACCCACTTCAGGCAGAGCTCTGGCACAACACACCCAGCTCTGGACCCTGCTTGGACTTTTAAGGCTCTCTACTGCCTAGAGCCTTCTCTCACCAAGCCCCTCTGGTCTTCCCATGTGCACCCTACTTTCCAGGGCTCACCTCCCTCCTACCTGCCTTTCCTTCCACCCCAGGACCCTGTCCCCCATCTCTCCATGTTCAAACCTGACTCTTCTAAGCTGAGCTTCTTCCCCAGGAAGGGGCCTGTCTCACATCCCACCTACCACGTTCCCTCTCGTGAGTCTCCTTGCTGGGTTATAGTCAGTCTGTTGCCCCTACTCCAGGGTACTTTGGAGGGCAGGGCCTGATGGGCCTGCCCAGATGAGACCCAGGAGATGAATGAAGGTGCAAATGAGCAAGAAGTGAGACCTCACTGTTTCTCTGTCACATACACCCAACATGTGCTTTAGGACCTTGGAGCCTTAAGCTACCACACTAGCCAGAGCCCCTCTCCTGCCTACCCTAAGGGGATGGCCTCACTTCCCAGGGGAAGAAGGCATGTGTGCTGCTTTCCTGGACACCTGAAGGTCAGAGGGACAACCCTAATCCCGTGCCATCAGGGTCAGGCTAAGAGCATCCCAGCCCCACCCAGCCCATCCTGCCTGGCCTCTTGGGGCCCGCAGGCTTCACAGGGCCTAAGAGGTGTGTCCTGGGCCAGGGGAGGCAGAATCCTTCCTTCCTCCCAGTGAGTCACCCTTAGCGGTGAGGGTGACCTCCCAGTGACATCCACCCACTGTGGCCTGGGCACTTAGCCCTGGGGATGTGGGCAGCACGGATGGAGACAGCAGCCTGCGCAGGATGGCCGGGGGCCTGAGAGGCCAGTACACAACACACTCACACGCACAGTCATCTCCTCACATACACAGACTTATTCTGACACCAACACAGGCTTATTATATAAACACTCCCATCCCCTCCCGACAGTGAATGCAGACACACATCCAAGACAACAACACAGACACTGGCTGATCACCGTGTGTCACTCCAAAGCCTAATCATGCCCCCATAGACATGGGGGTCATGTGAGCACATGTGTGTGTGTGCAAGCACACACACACACACACACACACACAATCTGGTGGGGTTTCTTAGCGCTGGAGTGGATGAGTGAACAGAGGAATGTGTGAGAGGGGCTGTTTTGCTGGTGCCATCCTGGGCTCGGCCTAATTACCCTGTCCAGGAGGGTAATTACTGCTGGGACACCTCCCCCAGCCTGGCCCACAGGGCCCTGGTGGAGGAGGCCCAAGCCCCAGGCCTGGCCCTTTGGGGAGAGATGCTGGGGAAGAGATGGGCTCCAGGCTGGGTGGGAAAGTCGTAAGGGCTGGGGCTGGTGCAAAAGGCCTTCAAGATGTGAAGAGTTCGCCAGGAGTCACGGAGAAAAGAGGCAAGCCAGTCCCCAGCTCCAGGCTGCACCCCACTTCTTAGGCCTTACTTAACACAGTTCCCGCTCAGATCTTCCCACTGACTCTTTCACCCCAGCCCTGACCCAGGCTCCTCCTCCGGAGAAAGCAGGTGTATGCTCTGGGCAGGGTCTGCTTTAGGTATTTTAAAAAGACTTCTGTTTTGTGGGGAAATATTCATCCCTTCTCAGAGACTTCCGGCCCTGCTCACATTCCTCAAAACCTCTGTGCCTTCTAGCACCTTCCTGGAAGCCTGTGCCATCCACAACCCCATTCAAGCCCCCAATCCCAATTCAAGCTTCAAAGTTCAGGCCTCTGGGCCCCCAACTCTGGCCTCCAGGACTGTGACCCCCCAAGCTCAGTGGCCTCCATCTGTGCTATGTGCACCCTAGGTCCCCGCCTCTTACGCCGGAGGCTCCGCTCTGCAGCCTGCCTTCCCGGCTCCCCACCGCTCCCAGCCTCGGCCCCCGGCCCTCACCCACGCGGAAGCCGGAGCCCGTGAGCGTGTCGGTGCTGTGGCCGTTCTCTCCGATCAGCGTCATGTTGGTGCCGTGGTGACAGCTGTCCCGACACTGGCCCTTGAGACAGGTCCGCTTGCAGTACACCGGCGCAAAGACCACCTTGAAGCGCTCGCGGGCCAGCGCCCCGCCCCCGCCGGCGCCCCGC